AAGTCCAGACCCGAAACGTCAGCTTTCCTGCTCCTCTGATGCTGCCTGGCCTGCTGTGTTCATCCAACTCCACGCTGTGTTATCTCAGACTCTAGCATCGGCAGTTCCTACTATCTCTGAATAGCAAGGGTCTTTTCCCTAAGGTGGGAGGGTTGGGGGAGAAATGAGGGTTTAAAACTAGAGGCACGGGTTTAAGGTGAGTGGATAAAGATTTAAAAAGAACATGAGGAGAAATTTTTTACGTAATGTGGTTAATGTGTGGAATGAACTGCTAGAGGATGTGGTACATGCAAGTACAGTTACAACGTTTAAGAGACATTTGGATAATTGCATGAATAGGAAAGGTTTGGAGGGATATGGGCCAAACACAGGCAAGTAGGAACAGTTTAGTTTGGGGTTATGTTTGGCATGGACTAGTTGGACCGAAGAGTCTTTTTCCATGCTGTCTGACGTTCTCAGTGCTAACACCAAGAGAGTTAGAAGGCCTGTCTCTCAAGGGAGGCATGAAACGTATGCTCTCACAGTTGGAGAGTGACCCCTCGGCCGTTAATTTGAAGGGGTTTTGAAAGGTGCTCACCTACTCCTGCTTACCCCTCAAACAACCTTATTAGAACAGATTTCCTGGCCGTTTATCTCACTCGTAGGATCTTGCTATGCGCAAGCTAACTGGGCCTGCTCCTCAACAGGGACTACACAGCAGTGTGGTTCCAGATAACTGTATCTTTTTTTTTAAAATCCTTTAATGATGTTTTTTTTAAAAAAACCAGCTAAGGAGCAGTTGTTTAAATTGCCTGATGTTGCTATGAACCTAAACGAAAAAGATGCTTATTTGGCTCTTTATTTCACCCCAGACGCTGAACAAAAACAATTTGATTCCTGATGACCGAAGCAACTATTTCTCCTCCCTGCAGCAGACCAATGTGTACACCACAACGTACTACCCCAGCACCCTGAATAAATATGACTACCGACCTGAATCCTCATCCGGTAGAACCTACACCTAAGACGCTCCAAGTGGACTTCTCCTGGAAAGAAATCAGAAAAGGACTCTGCTCACCCAGTCCCCGGCACACCGCGAGTGAACCTGTAACCATAGCAACCACCCGTAGTCGAGTCATAACCAGTCCAAATTTCGTGGAGTCAGTCCTTCATTAAAAGATTTGCACTTCTTCGAAGCCCACAGGTCAGCCATCGAGACTTGTTTATGACTTAAAAGAAACTTCGTCAGCTACGGATTTTGTGTTTTCTTCTTCTTCCGTCATGGACCCCCTGACAAGAAAGACTGAGCGATGCTTCATTTTTATTTTGCGGGGAGGGGGATAAAGAAAGACATTGGCGGAGACAAGATGGCCGCTGCAGTGGCCAAACAAGACAGGTAGTTGCCACCCAGCGATGTGTCACCTCTTGTGAAACTAGATTTGCTGAGGATTTCTTCACATTGGCACTACAGGTGGCTCTCAGAATGTGACCGTAGCATCTAGGTATCAGAAATACTCCTGCGCTACTGAGGAATCGTTATTTTTTATTGTCATTTGAAAGTTTATGTCCTTCTTCTCTGTTACCCACCCCCAACCTCCACTTCGGTATTAATTTTCAGATGTGGAACCTAACATTGGCAAAATGTAGCCGTATTTACAGAAACCGTCTGTTTGGTTTAATAGCTCCATTACTCCATTTTATTTGCTGCACCCAAACCTCCCGCCACTCTATTTCATTCGTCAACAGTTCAAAAAAAAACACATCGAAATGTTCTTTATTTTTTTAAATTGATTTTTTTCTTATTGTGCTCCTTGCCTCGTTTTCAGGCTCGTTTCATTGTTTCTACTACTTCTGTCCCCGTGTGCATTCCCAGGATTGGCATTTTGGCACTTCCCACTGATTGGTAAAATTTGCAAAGTGGTTAACCGACAGATGGTGAACAGAGAGGCTAACAATGGTCCTATTTACGGTTAATGGGGACCAGGTTTATTTGAGTGCAAAATCCAGCAAAAAAACTGTTAAATTAATTTGGGCGCAGCCCTCTGGTGATTCAACTCTGTTCATTCAATGCACCCTGGTTTGGATATGCTTCATATTTTTATAATCAGCAGATTTAAGTTGCTATTTCACCATAATTTCATCTGCTCCATTGGAATCTGTATCTCAAAGGAATTATTCTAAAGTGCAAGAATGTTAGTGAAATGGGAAAAGGAACCATTTGTTGCAGCGACAGAGAATTCTTCAAATGTCAGTGTAGCTAAAAATGAGATTGTCCTGGTTGTCCTCCCTGTATTCTCCTTAGCTTCTGAATTGTCCCAACACAACTGTCCGATCCTTTACAAAGAGAGCACCAGAGTGAACAACAAGATGTTGGCTATATTTAGGGTAAGGGCTTATTGAGGATTCTTTGAGATGGTAAGGCCCAGGTATGTTGTTTTCAGTGTGAGCTGGGATTTGTCCTCATCCTCCCCGAGATGCTTCGATAGTGATGCAGAAAAATCAAAAACCTTCCCTTTATTCCTTCGTCGCTCTCATCCTGATGAGCTCAGCTGAACAAGAGTTCTGTTGAAAGTTTACTGAAAGTCATTTCGGGAGCTGGACAGTGTCTTGAGCTCTGACTAAAACCTCCCAAGTAAAAAGAGAAATTTTGCTTCTTAACCTGTGGCTAATGCTCTCGCATATCAGATACCACTTCGACCCCCTGTGGCATGTTACCTGTGTTTGATGCCTGTTGGGTTACAGTTGGAAGCTTTGCCAATGTTATAATGGTGTAACTGACCAACACTGAGAGGGGATGCCAGTCAGTCCTTCTTTCTACAGGAATCTCTGCTGCCCCTTACGTTTGAGCCTGAATTTCTGGTCATCCATTACAATGTAAACCAATTCTCACATAACGAATCAACCAACTGGGTTCTCGTGAAGAGGAGAGTTCTTAATTTTCCCAGATGATGACGACGTGTTTACACATGGGAAGGCAGCTATAAAGTTACCTGCACCAAGGTACACGTAAAAAGCTAAAAGAGTTGTTTGCCAACCGTGATGGCTTATTCCCTCTTAACAAAAACACCTGCGTTTTATACCATAGCTGTTAGATTTCCAAGTTGGATTTTTCTCGCATGGCTGTGATCTGCTGGCAGTACTTGCACAAGATACAAAAAGATGTATTAAGGGGAATTTGTTCGGTGAATCTGCCCTAGACTGCACATAAATGCCATTTTGAAGTAACCTGAGCCAAGGAACTATCAATGCAGATGAGAAGCTAAACCTCACATCAATGTTTTCAAGACTGTAGATTGCCTCACCCCAACCAGGCTCCCATCTTATTTCCGTAAGTCTGTCCATCCCCACAGTCCTGTGCACTCCTCCATCTCTGGTCTCCAGTTGCGTTCCCTTTGATAGTCTTTTCATCTTTGTAGGACATGCCTGCAGTTGCCTGGGCCTTAAGCTACTCCTCACTTCTTTGTTTCTCCCCCTCTCTTCCTTTAAGACACTCCTTAAAGTCTACCTCTTTGACCATAATATAGTCATCTGACCTACTGCCTCCTTACGTGACTCAATGTCAAATTTTGTTGTGATAACACTCCCATTGAGTGGCTTTGGAAGTTTTATTTTTTGGCAAATGTGCTATGTAAATGTAAGTTGTTGTACTGAAGTGGAAATATTTTTCCCATCATTGTCCTACTTTTCCTGGATTATCAGGAACTGTGAACTGCTGCCTCTAAGTAGAACATGGATTGTGTAAAGTGAGTATTAACATAGTGCAAGACTGTGAAATATGGTGACAATTCTGGTGTGCCTTAGTTTTTGTTGACCTCTGTAAAATGTCCTTGTTTCAACTAATACTTTTGTTCGCAGAAGCCTTACTAGGCAGTTACTGGTTTCCAGCTCATTTATCTTCCCTTATAGACAGTGTGGGGGATGGTGAACAGTAGAGAAAAACGTGCTAGTTGAATTGCCACCAGGAACAGTAACACCTACCAGCTGGTACCTCATGAATGTATACTTTTCTGAATCGCTATCTGCGGTATTTATGCACAATGTCTTGTTGTTGCCATTAATCAACTTCCACTGGGGTTGAACCAATGTAACGTTATTTAGGCCAAACTTAGAGTAATGCGTCAGTTCTAGTCACCACACTGTTCAAAGTGTGTGACTGCACTAGAGAAAGGGTGCAGAGGAGGTTCATCAGGATGCTGCCTGGACTAGAGGTGTTCAACGATAAAGTGCTGGAGACAAAATGGGATTGTTTTCCATCGAGTGGAGAAGGCCAGGGAAGGGGGGATCTGATTGAGGTCCTCAAAATTCGAGGACCATAGATGGGGTAGATAGGGAGAAGCTTTCCTGCTAGTAAAGGGTAAATGACCAAGGAGCACACGGTTTTAAGGTAAGGTGCAGGAGGTGTAAATGGGATTAGAGGAAAGATTTTTTCAACCAGAGGGTTGTGGTTATTTGGAACTCTCTGCCTGCAAGGTGGTTGAGGCTTGAACCCTCAAGACTCTTAAGAATTATTTAGATGAACACTTGAAATGCTATACATACAAGGCTATGGGCCAAATACTGGGAAATGGGATCAGACTGAATGGATGCTTGATGACCAGCTCAAACACAATGGGCTGAGGATTCATAAGAACATGAGAAATAGGAGCAGAAGTATACCATCTGGCAACTTGGTCTTTTTCTGTGCTTTAAAAACTCTAGGATTCAATGACTCTCTATTCAATCAAAAAATAGGTTGGAGAAAGAGTTGCCTCATGGTGGCCAATGGAAATTTCTTTTGCATGCTATCTTCAACAGTTGCTCCAATCATTACTCCCAAGCGTCGAGTAGAGTAGATGGATACTTTCGTTGAGAAGTTTGAAGGGACTGTAATGAATTAAGACATAGCCTTCAGTTAGTTGTAAGCCCTGGACTCAAAGATCCATTGATTCAGATGAATTGATTTGTGTAAGCACCATTAGGGCTCTTTGTGAAATAAGTTAGGTCCCTGTTCATTCATGAGGCTAAAGGAAACAGTGAGGGAATTGGCATGAATCGGCTCCAAATCTGGGAGTTGATGAGATGCTGAGGTAGAGTGGTTTGTAGTTTATTCTGGGCCCAGGAGTGCTTGTGTGCTGACACTGGTTCAAAATTGTGATGAGACTCGACATCACCTACTTTGATTTTGAGAAGCTGAGATTGTTCTCCTTAGAGGAGAGAAGGTCAAGATGAGATTTGATCAAGGCATTCAGAATCATGAGGGAACCCTGGATGGAGTAGACAGAGAGAAACATCTCCCATTGGCAGAAGGGTCAAGAACCTGAGGAGACTGTTTTAAGGTGTTTGGTGTGAGTACAGTAGGCGACAGAGGGAAAACATTTTTTTACACAGCGCGTGGTTCAGATTTGGAATGCACTTCCTGAGAAGGTGGTGGAGATTGGTTCATTAGGAGCTTTCAAAAGGAGATTGGACAAATCGATGAAGAGAAAGAAATTGTAGCATTGTGAAGAATGGAAAATGCGGAATAGCTTGGTTATGCTAGCAGTGATCTGGCAAGGATTCAATGGGTGGAATGACCTCCTTTATTCTTCAATCATTCTGTGACTCTACAAAGAACATCATGGCCACTTTAATCGGTGAATGCAGCATTGTAATTTGATTATGAAGCTTTATGGGTCAGGAAACCCCTAAGTGTGACCCCTGACCTGTACCAGTTCTGTCATGGAGAGATTACGATTGGTGCTAACAATCTCAAACTTGGCATGGGAAAATTCGATCGTGGTGATGCAGTTCTAAATCGTTTGCCGAACAATCAATATTGCTTTAAAGAGTGATTACTCCAATGACTTACTGACCGACCTCTGATCTTGCACACTCCATAAATTAGTATTTAATCCATAATTCTACTGACTGTATCCTAATTCGCTTCAAATCCTGTTCTCCTATCACCCCTTTGCTTGCTTACCTATCTTGGTTCCCAGTGCAAAAACACCTGAAATTCAACACCTTGCATTCAAATTACTACTTCTTGCTATTTCTGTAAGGCCCACAAACACTGCAACCCACCAAAGTCTTATCATTCTTTGAATTCTGGCATATCCCTATTTTCATGCAGATTGGTCATCATGGTTTCAACTGCATAGGCCCTGAATTCTGGAATTCCCTCCCTCAACCTGTCCACCTCTCCGTTAAGATGTTCTTAAGACCTACTTCTTTGACCAATCTTTAGGACACCTGCCTGAAGACCTCCTCACATTGCATGGTATCCCATGAAGTGCCCTGCAAGGTTTTCTCACTATAAGGCACTATATAGATGCAAGTTGTTGTTCTATGGATGCAGAAGTACTGGCTACAGGGAAGCGGGGTGAAAATGTGGGGAAGTAAATGGAACAAATACAGACAGCTCACCTAAAGCAAATGCCCCTTGCAGCTCTCCAGCCATGTTTGTCCACAAATGCAGCATCCATCCATGTCGGAACAGGGCAACCATCAGTCAGCAGGACCATTCCCGACACATGCTTAACTTCAAAGTCCCAGCTCATGCTCTCATTTTTCACGAGCCCAGAGCTAGAAATCTGCTCGGATGAATAATCTGCAAAATATATCCTGGAGCCAGTCAACAGGTGTAATCACATAGACAAAGAGTCTCTGAATGAAGACTGGGATATTTACAGAAGCACTATCCTATGCACTTGTGACTTTAAGTTGACTATAGGACATAGGAGTGGGCCATTCAGCCCATTGAGTCTACTCTACCATTCAATGAGGTCATGGCCAATCTGATAATCCTGAACTCCACATTCCTGCTTTTTCCCCATAACGCTTGATTCCCTTACTCAATAAAAACCTGTCTGTCTCACTCTTCAATGTACCTAATGACCCAACCTCAACAGCACTCGGCAGCAAAGAACTTCAGAGATTCAGTACCTTCTGAGAGAAGAAATTCTCCTCATCTCTGTTTTAAATGGGCGGCCCCTTATTCTGAGATTATGTCCACGGTCCTTGCCCCCACCCCCCACCATGGGGGAAACTACCTTTCCACATCCACCCTGTCAAATCCCCTAAGAATATTGTAAATTTCAATCAATTCACCTTTCATTCTTCTATATTCCAACAAGTTTGGGCCTAATTTATGACAGTCTCTTCATAAGACAGTCACTCCATATATGATATCAGCTGAGTGAACGTTCTCTGGACTGCCTGTAAATTGATGAGCATAGACCTAAATTTTGGCTCAATTGTGATTTGAGACTGAGGCCTACCTAATGGATCAGGGAGCCTCTTCTGAGAGACTTTGACCTGTGCATCAGTGACTTTTACCCTGGCTTAAATCCTTTGAAGGGAGGTGATGGTTTGTATCACAGTCTTTGCTTGAAACTATTTGAATGGAATTGCTGGAACAGCCAGAACTTTCTACCCATCTCTAATCACCCTTGAGGGGGGAAGCTTGCCATTTCAGAGGCCCTTAAGAGCCAATCCCTGGTGTGGTCTGGAGTCATGTGAAAACCATGTGGGTACACAACAGAGTTTATTAGCACAGCCTCATTAGTGATGGATTTTTCTCTCAACTAGTTTCACACTGGCTGAATCCAGTTTTACAGATTTATTAATTGAATTTAAATCCCACTAGGTGCTGTGATAGGATTTGAACTCATGTCCCAGAGCATTAGGTTAGGCGTCTGGGTTACTGGTCCAGTGACATTACCACCATGCCACCATCTCCCTGACATGGGATGTTGCTTCAAGGCGAGGTACTTTTCAGTGCATTAGTGTGTTGAGGCCATTTCCTGGTGTAACCCGGCGAGCACAACATCTCACACTTTACAAGCATCGATATTTGGGAGGGTCGCTGCTAAGTTTCCTCAGTATCTGACGCGCTCAATCTCTGTCGACTTGCACTCCAGGAACTCCAAAATAATTGGTTTTTTCTCCTTTTAAAAAGTGAGGGCCTGCTCACAGCTTCAGCTGGATGGGAGTCAAAAGAAAAGTCAAAACACGTTTCAATTTATCAAAATTCTCCACGCAAAAGATAACAGGAGTTTGGAGCTCTCTTTTGGAAATGTTTGGTCATATGAAAGTTTTAAAATGACATTGGTGGTTTTTGGATAAGAACCATGTATTCGAGGATCTTGGACCAAGGCAGGTATAGAACGCAAGGTGACAGAACAGCCATTATCTGATTGAATAGCACAGCACGTTCAGGGCTTTAAAAAAATTCTATCATGGGCTGTGGATATAGGAGGTAAGATTACCATTTGTTACCCGTTACTAACTGCCCTTGAACAGAGTGGCATGCTAGCCTATTTCAGAGGGTAGTTAAGAGTTAGGTACATTGCTGTGAGTGTAGAGCTGAGTGAGGGTGGCAGATTTCCTTCCGTAAAGGGTCCTGGTGAACCGTGGGGTTTTGCAATAATCAGTGCTGTTGCCATGGGACTAGCTTTATACTTGCAGATGTATCTGAACCCAACATAAGCCCAGGCCTCTGGATTATTAGTGCATTTTATGACTGCATTTCCCCCTATCTATCTCGTTATTTTGCTGTTGTTTACCCTCAGGCCCCCACCATACCCCAGTTCCTAAATGAGTGATTAACAAATCATTTGAAGGTTGTTACGTTTCACTTTTCCCTCTGAAAATTGCTAAATGAATGTCTTTGAACTGATTGAGCTGGCTAGGCCTCTTGGGGCAGAACCGTATGCGTACTGTAATATTCTCTCTATTTATCTACTCCTCCATCAGACAGCAGCCATGTTCATTTATACTGTTTTGTTAAGGTGATAACTCTTTCTCCCTTGGTACCTTAACTGGCAAGTGCACTGCTGAGTGCATCAAGAAGATCCAAGGGCCTCTGTTGCGTTCACTGTCCTCAGTCAGGGGAATACCTACTGTGGATTAATTTGTCTTTAGGTAGTAAAATCATCCAGTGTTCTCCCTCTTACATTGGTATTGAGCTTACCTTTGGAAGGCAAGAGGGTCTGATGAAGAGACGACTGAATCACAGAACTGCTACGGTGCAGAAAGAGGCCATTCAGCCTATCATACCCATACTGGCTCTAAAAACATCATTACCTAGTGCCAATCTTCTGGCTTTACCCTTGCACACTATTTCTATCAAAATGATCATCCAATGCCCTCTTGAATGCCTCAATTGAACATGTCTCCACCAATCTCTAGGCAGTGCATTCCCTACCCTAACTACCCTACTGTGTGTAAAGGTTTTTTCTCACATTATCCTTGCTTCATTTTACTTGCACATCACTTTAATTTATGCCCTCTCATTCTTGTTCCTTTTACCACTGGGATAAGCATCTCCCTATCTTCTCTATGCAGCCTGCTCATGATTTTGAAAACCTCTATCAAATCTTCCCCTAGCCACCTTCTGTCCAAGGAATACAATCCCAACTTCTTCAATCTATTCTCATCACTGAAGTTTCCCATTCCTAGAACCATTCTTGTAAACCACTTCTGCACGCTATCTCCACTGCATTTACATTCTTACTATAATGTGGTGCCAAAACTGTCCATAATACTCCAGCTGAGGTCTACCAGTTCCACCTCAAACCCCTTCAACCCTCACCACCACCGCTCATTTCCGCTGTGTTGCCAACTCTTCAAGATTGGAGTCTCTGTGATTAAATCTTCAGGCCACTGCTGTCTGCAATTCTGGAGAAAAAAATCGGTGGGATGTTAAAAATAGTTTTTTTTTTCAATATTCTTTAGATATTTCTCCTTACCAGATATGAAACTATTGAAGATAGGGGAGAAAAGGCTGTTTAGCTGACAGTCAACCGACTAAGAGATAGTAGGAACTGCAGATGCTGGAGAATCCGAGACAACAAGGTGCAGGGCTGGATGAACACAGCAGGCCAAGCAGCATCATAGGAGCAGAGAGGCTGACGTTTCGGGCCTAGACCCTTCATCAGAAAAGGGGGAGGGGAAGGGGGTTTTGAAATAAATAGGGAGAGAGTGGGAGGCGGATAGAAGAGGGATAGAGGAGAGGATAGGTGGAGAGGAAACAAACAGGTCGAAGAGGCGGGGATGGGGCCAGTAAAGGTGAGTGTAGGTGGGGAGTTAGGGAGGGGATAGGTCAGTCCAGGGAGAACGGACAG